GCTGATTTTTACGTATATGTTAGATAAAATCGTTAAAATTCGTTCATCAATACTCCCAGATACTTTTCGTCGGCAATATGCCTTTGCAGACGCTTTAAAGCTTTCAAAAATTACTCAATTTCACTTACATTCTGAAGCTCTATCAGCCAAACAACTATTGTAAAACGTTTTACAAGAAGGCAGACTGATCCAAGGGGTCAATCATCCCCTAGATCTACACCGTGACTCATGCTCATGTGCGCGGATAATGCCCACGTGCTCATACACACACAGAGGCATTAAAATTGGGTCTAGGGGATGATTGACCCCTTAAGTCAGTGTGCCTTCTTGTAAAACTTAAAATAGTTGTCTGGTTAACTTATATAAAAATGGAGCATCATTCTAATTTATCTAATGTTGCTTGTGACAATTACGTAAGTCAAAACCTAGTCTGGTTTATTTAAATAAAATAAACAAAAATAATAATATCTTGTCATTCTAAAAAAAAGGTAATTTTGGGGTTTGGCATCAAAATTAAATTTTGCCTTCACACAATAGATACAATTGTTAATCTGAGCACAGCATAAATTTCTAAATCATTTTGATAATATTTTTTTTTACTTGTGGAGTTTTAGTCTAGGGACCAAATTTGTTTATTTATACAAGAGGGATGAAAGAAAGAATTGTAATTCTAAACCACAATCTAGGTAGTATGGAAACTTACGGGCACGGCTTATTGGTAGTAATATAGTAGTCGATCTATAATATAATAAACAGGTACCTACCTGGAATAATACACGGAAAATATCGATGTTTTAGTAAAAACACGAATGTGTCGTCACCCTGTGGAATCCTATCCCGTATATCTTATTTATAATTTATTGTAGATGCTAGATGCCTGCTTGTATTTTTAAAAGAAAATGGGAAAAGGTCATGATTGTGCTATCATTTTTCTAAAGCACTTAGATACATGCATAATGGTTTAATAAATAAATAATCCGTAAAAGTAGTTTTGTTCAATGTAAAGAAAATCTTTTATGCATTGCGATAATTATAGGAAAGACTAGCTGTTCCTCGCGACTTCGCCCGCGTGTAATTTTAGCTTTTAATTTTCTTGCACGGCACTATAATTCTATTTCTAAAAAAATATAAAAAGCCTAAGTTACTCCTTATAACATGAGCTGTCTACCAGTGAAGTCCCGTCAAAATATGTCCAGCCGTTTTGGAGATTAGCTGTAACAAACAGACAGACAGACAGACAGACAGATGAAAATGTTATAAATTGTGTTTTTGTGTATGAGTACCGTATATACTTTCATTTGCAATTAGTAAAAAGCTGTTATTTGGACATTATAAACAGACACTTCAATTTTATTTATTTGTATAGATATAGATAAAAATAACGGATAATAGGTATTGTACGAGTATATTACTTTATAATTTAATTGATAGAGATAATTAGTGCATTTTCATACTGGTACGTAATTATTATAGTTGATACTATTATAGTATGAATAGATATATTAAATATTAAACCTTTTGTACATGTTGTGTTATATCATTATATACTATTATATATTAAATAATTTATGCGTACAGCAAATACCTACCTAAAGTGAAAAATATAATTTTAGTATATTTATGTACTAGATTATAAATTTTTTAAACTAGAAATAATAGGCACTTTTTTTTATCAACATCTATAGAATTTTATAATAATTTTTACTCACCGACAGCTGTTGTATCTAGAGCGAAGCAGCTGCTTCGCGATTTAACGACGGTGCCAGGTGAAGTTCCATCGGGCCACTCCATTCTCTCTTCCATTGCTTTCGAAGCGCTCCTCTTAAATTGTTCCAGAAAACTGTCTATTTGCGTCTCTAAACTCGTTGGCGAACTTGCCATCGTTTCCACCGAAACACCAAAAACAAACACAATTCAATATCTTCCAGCTTACGACATTTTAACGTTGCTATTTTCCCATTTATCGTATTTTGTGCGATGCTATATTCCTGTCGAAACATCGTATTGAATAATAGCTAACCATTTTTTAATCCCAATTCGTTCATTGACCCTAGTCCACTTGCTTTTTTGTATCAAAAATCACTACAGAATCGCCGCAGGTATGAATAGCAACATGCAGCGATGTGATTTTACTACGGGTACCGTTAACACCGCATCGAAAATAAAGCGACTTCCACCGACATCTATCGATCGTAGTAAACAGCTGTTTGTCTAGAGTTGCCATAGTCGTATTCAATGATAAAAATTGCAAAATTGTGATAAAATGTGTAACGTGGAGAATATAATATCTTATTAATTTAAAGTGATTACTTTTAGTGAAAATAAAAATAATTTAATAAAGGTGTATTTTAAATTGTGATAGCTAAATTCAAAGTTATAAGCTCGTAGGTTTGTAAAGTTGCCTCCGGCTGCCGCATCGCGTCGCGTGGGTATATCGGCACTAGTGTGGTCATTACTACAGGAATTGCCGTGTTCTCGGTAATTGGGAAAAATACTAAAAATCTACGGCCTGCTACCGCATTTCTATTGACGTAGCAGAATCTACGGCAATTTTCTTGCGTGTTTTTAATGGTAGAGTTTTTATGCTTTTATAGGATGAAATGTCTAATTTATAATCTATTTGGCCATAAAATGCCCTCTGACAACAACACCTAAAGATGTGAACGTCAGCCATATCCTTTCAATCAGGGCATCCACAATTCTTTCTTCCACCAGGGCGGTGCCAAATATTTGACAGATTCTACGCAATTTGTTAGGAAAACGTAAAATTTAATGTTTCTTTCTCAAATATTAGTTATATTTTGTATTAATTCGATTATAAACGGAAAACCAAACTACGGATATTTCTAAAATATACAAAACAATGCATTAGTGTCTCCTTATTTGTTCTTTTTTTTTTTTTGATATTATTTAACTCAATTTAAATTTTTCTATTTATACACTAGAAATCTATATTTTTTTATTTTATTTAAAACGCAATTTCTCAATTGTCATATTATTGTTTAACAAAAAACTTCACTTTAGTCCTAACTAGCGTCATTTGGTGAGTGGAGGATTATTAGCCCCCATTAACAAGAATTGACTCTACAAAACGATTCAAAGTGTTGGAAAAGACTGTGGAAACCACTTCACGAACATTGCATGCAGCCTTACCATTTTTGTCCCATGCAAGAACGTGGGGCCATGATCACGACCTAAGTAATAATTTTTTTCAGTATGTTATCTGGTATTGAGAAAATTCGACTTATGAATTCTTTTTTTTTACAGATGAATCCTTCTTCACCTGGTGATCTTTGGTTTTCACAGGGAACTACTGGATTCAAGTGATTCGTATGTGAGACGCTTACTAAGATCGATTTAGTGTGTGTGTTTTTTCAGCATTAAGATTCTTTATCATAACATATCTAATAGAATACACTATTTCTAAAAAAAAGAACTGCATGAATTTCGTACATAAATCTTTATACATAATGAGTGTAAGGTTTACGAAGCCGATAAGAACAGGGTAGGTATACGGAAACTATAGCTCCAAAGAGGACTCTGAGACAGGGAAGAATACGAACTCGTAATAATGCAGAGGAATAGTTTGTTTCGAGATTCAGATATTTGAAACAATATTCTTAAAAAAAAATGTTGATTGATTTTCTTATAATCTCTTTATATAAAATCAATTGCTTTCCGTTACTGTCGTTAAAACTCAAAAACGACTCAACCAATGGTTTAGATTCACATTATGTTGCGGTAGGTGACGCTGCTGTCGAGATTCTATATAATTTATTTTTAAATGTCTTTTGTCTTAAATAACTAGATAAAATATATAAAAACGACTAAATCTAGTCCAGTTTAATCCTCAGAAGACACAAGTTTGCTCGTTTACCGCTAAAAAGAACCCCTTTGTCGTTTCTCCTCAGTTTCAAGGCACTCCCCTTCTTGCCTCAGCCAGTATCGGAATCCTCGGAGTCGATATATCGAGTAACGTGCAGTTTCGTGGTCACTTGGAAGAGAAGGCCAAATTGGCCTCTAAAAAGCTTGGCGTGCTCAGCAGAGCGGGACAGTATTTCATGCCGGCACACCACCTGCAACTTTACAAGGCGCAGGTTCGGTCTCACATGGAATATTGTTCCCATCTCTGGGCAGAGGCTCCCCAGTGCCAGCTCCTTCCACTTGACCGCATCCAGCACAGAGCGGCCCGAATCGTCGACGACCGAGTCTTTCCGATCGGCTTGATTCATTGGCACTGCAAAGAGATGTTGCATCCCTTTGCATTTTCTTTCGCATCTACCACTTTGATTGCTCTGAGTAATTGTTTGGATTAATCCCAGCCGCCAAATTTAACGAACGCACATCGCGGCAGAAATCCCGATACCATCCACTTTATCTGGATGATTGGCGGTCCACCACTGTGCGATTTAGAATATATTTTCTTCCTCGCACGACTTCCTGGTGGAATCGATTACCATCAGCGATTTTTCCGGACCGATACGACTTAGGGACCTTCAAGAAAAGAGCCTACTCCTTTTTAAAAGGCCGGCAACGTATCTGCAATTCCCCTGGTTCCTCTGGTGTTGCAGTTGTTCATGGGCGGCGGTAGTCACTTACCATCAGGTAAGCCGCATGATCGTTTGCCCCCTCTCCTATAAAAAAAAAACTTAGCTAACTAGTTTTTAACATGTTTGTTGTGATGGGTTTCCGCAAAGTAACGCCTGATTCGAATAATTAATATTTTGTCTGTTTTATTTATTTTTTCATGCTATGGCAATCGAAAGACCTATCACTCCATATAGTGGAGGCTACCCTTGCCGGTACGAGGCTGCCACTCGAGACCCTTTCTTCCCTATAGGTGGTTGGATCTTCAAGCTATATAGCCAGCCCATTACTACGTCAACTTACTGATACGATTAGAGATCTTAATATTTTTCATACAAACACGGCAGTTTAAAATTTGGCTCTAGCAACACCGACATTAGTGATTACATTCTCTTTGCTTATGGATTTGATACCACAGACCAAAGAGCAGAGACAGAGCACTGTTCTCCCGGCGTTAAAATATAATACTTGCATTTGCTAGAGTGCAAGTAGCGCGTGTAGTTTGTGATAAGTTAGAGGTGACTGGAATAACTCACGGCTGAAACAAGAACAACACGACTACACCCGGCGCCACAATGACAAGTGAGTCTTTTATTTAAAAAAAATATATATATAAAATATTAATAAGATGCTTATATTTATGTATATTTTATATAAAAAAACTACTCGCTGAAGAATTTAGAACAGGATAAGTATTTTCATTAAAAAATAAAAAGGGTAGTTTGAAAAATCGCATTAGGAAGGTAAATGACTTACTTAATTTTTTTGATAGTTTAAATAAATTAAGATATCAATATTTTCAGTTTTAATAAAACCTATGCTAAGGTTTCGGTTTCGTTGATTTTATCGTACCTACCATAAACAACTAATAACTTAAATAAAATATAAAGATAATCATAAGGTAGGTATTTAGGGTAGGTAGGTTTTTATATAAGCAAAAAATTTAATATTTCTTTTCTATTGCGGGAAAGGTAACTTATACTTTAAACAAGTTATTAATAATTGTTATAAATTGATGGGTATGCTTAAACGACTATATTTTGCACTCTATTATCTGATTTACTATGAGATTATGAACAGACTTTTGAATGAAACTCGTTTTTAAGGATTTTACCGCGTTTAGGTATTACCTTAATATTTCCGACGTTTCGAATACCTACCTACCATGGGTACTACACGAATACTACACGTTTACCACGGGTAAAAGAACACAATACTAATCCGATTTGATAGACCATAACCGAGCACCGCCTCCTTTCAAGAATGATTCGCGTGGCAATTGAAATTAAAAAAAAATCTTAATTTCAGTAGAGAAGATGGTTGGGTGCTACCATCTACTTGGGATCCTATCATTAATAAAATTAAATCCCGATCCAAGCACACTTTATGCTCGTCCTACGTAGATTGGGCCAAAAATTAAGGAAGGAATTAATGAAGGTAGCCGTGGTTAACTATGACAATGGAACGTAGAACCTAACCCGTGACCATGAGAGCTGGAAAGTACTCGAAATGTCGGGAATATCAAATAAGTAAATAAACGCGATAAAATCCGTAAAAACTAGTTTCATTCAAATGTGTAGTAGAGCGTAAAAAAGAAATCGCGATGTGACTGACTTGTACATGTATGTAATGTAAGTATAGACATATTAGATACCACCCTCTTACTTGTGTGTTCCAGCCTAAAGGGTAAGAGAGCCAGTATTATTAATTATTGGCTGTGACCTTGAGCCATTCCATCATATTCCTCAGAGGTGACAACACATTTACACCCTTCTTAGTTTGCAGATGTCTGCAGGTGTGCATGGACTGCAGTAGCCACTTATCATCAGGTGGACTGTAACATTGTTTATCACATCAGTTTTATTGAAAAAAATATATATATATATCATAACTTGTTAATGAACAAACCAAATCCTGATCAAATCCTGATAGTCGATAATGATTTTCTATTACAAACTTGGAAGATTTTAACTATGGAGGTGGAGCTTCTATTATTGACACATTTTCATTATTATACATTATAATTTTCGTTGAAATTAGGAGATTGTGTATGTTAATCTATTAAATCAGAAATATCTTTAAGATATTATGTAGTTGCGGTTTTGAATCAAAAGATATTGAATTCTAGCCGCAAAGATTAACCCGACCTGATTGCGGCTATAGATACATAACGCCGTTTATACGTTCAAATACCTTTACTTCGAAGTTGTTGTCATATGATAGAAATTGATTGAAATGAATGCGACTATAAGTAACGTCCGTTTACAAACCTTCCACTTTCGAAGAAACTGAAAAAGGACACGCTTACGTAATAACAATCCTGTCTTCAACGTAGAACTATTAATCTTGTACAACGATAACATTTTTACGTGGTGGAGCCCTGCTGCAGCTATATTAGTAGTATAGCTGTTGTAGCAAGAATGGGTCGGCTCGACCGGGGCAGGACCACGCTCTCCCAGAATACCAGCGTAAAGTAACAACGCTGTTGTATCGATGGTGAGTGTAGAGAACCGGAGACCCTTTTTACTGGAAAAGGGGCATTCCATATTTGTCCTCACGTGTGACAACGTATCTACATTTTCATTCGTAATTGAGAATAAATATAAATGTCATCCTTATCCTATAACAAAAAGGAATACATTATATTCCTTAACTGTTACAATTGATTGACACTTCATAATAATTTCAAAATATGTAAGAATTCTATCCGATTTTATGTTACGAATAATATTGATTGTTTTTAAGCTTATATCGTTTAAATAATTATTTGTATTAGTAGCTTAGAATTAATTTAAAATCCCAAGCAGATATTTCTTTTTGATATAATAAAATTTTATGCTAATAAAATATGTACACAATTACCTAATATACAACACAAGCCGAAATGTATACATATTACGTAGGCTAGTAGCTAGCTAGTACTATAAAAATTTTATTTGGGTACCTACTACCAATGTAAACTTGAATCCTCGTCGCCGAATGGTTGAAATTGTAATGCATTGAAGCTGCTTAAAGATGTTTGTCTATTGCATTCTTGTGGCATGTTAAGCGACCGACTGCTCGCATGGGTTCATCCCGCCGAACCGGCCGCACCTAAATAGAAACCGCAGGGACAATGCTCCCGTCTTCACAGCCGCGTCTGATCCCACACCGCTATGCTCAAGTGCCTTATTGGGCTCCATTATAACGTCGTACCATACATAGCTATTTATAATCCCAAATGGTTCCTTTAAAATTAGATATCCCGACACCCAAATATTTTACGTTGATCGGACCTTGGTATTTGCTACTCGTAATTGATCAATTCCTGCATAATAATGATAATATTTCATGTATGCAAACACAAGCCAGGTTGTTGTTTTCGCTCACAATGGGCATTGGTATGCAGTATATTGATTTACAGTATGCAAGTTTTTCGAGTTATGTGATATTAACATCTTAAAATTTTCCTTAGCAACAATGTTTTGATAACCAAGTACCTACATAAAGGGAAGAATGGAATCTGAAAATAATTTTGCATGATGAAAAAAACCATTCTAAGTTATATGCGTTGTTATATACATCACACAATGCGAGGAACTATCCCATTGGTGGATGTTAGTGGTGATAGATTGATATCAAAAAACTTGTTACCATGGCAATAGACGAGCAACATATTTTATTCAACGAAGGAATTCTTCTTTTAATTACAATTTTGATTACACTCTACACAGTATATTTTATACGCGGTAGAGCCATGCTGCAGCTATATTAATAGTATAGTTGTAGTACGAATGGGTCGGCTCGACCGGGGAAGGACCACGCTCTCACAATACCAGCGTAAAATAGCAGCTTAACGCTGCTGTGTTTCGTATGGTGAGTGTAGAGAACCGGAGACCCTTTTTACTGGACAAGAGGCATTCCACCTTAGCCTATATACATAGGATAGATGTAGATGTCTATGGGTCAGAGCATCCACTTACCATCAGGTGGACTGTGTGCTCGTTTGTCACCCTATCCTATAAAATTCATAAACCTGTAGAAGTCTTAATGTTCTTACAGTTCATATCTTTGTATTAAGAAATTTTAAATACAAGAAATTTTAACTGTTTTTAGCGCCAAAAAAGAGTTCAGATCCCGTATGGAACCCGGAATTGGTAAAATTTCCTAATTACAAATAAATATCTCCCAGGATGTAGCTGAAACCGTTTTGCCTTTACCCATCGATGTATATCAGCCGTTTAAATTAAAGTTAAAATAAATGAATAAACTAATATTCCCTCAGTTACTAACTCATTAATTATTATCAATTAATACATTAGTAACTGAGGGAAAAACGAAAAACATATCGGTTTTTACATTTTTATTAAATGACGCTGCTTTAAAAATTTAGAATCGTCGGTGTAATTCCCAACTACGTCACAAACTTCACATTATTTCTGTACTGTATTTAATATTTTTAAAAATGAAGTTCAATACAATATATTTATATGTTTATTTATTATTGTAAATTTGTCTTTTACATCTTCAAATTCTAAAAAAAATATTAGAATAATGAGAACTTTTCTACAGATATATGAATGATATAAATTGTATGATAATATATGTATGTACAATGTAGGTATATACGAGGTACGAGCAACGGAAATAAAAAAAAATCGTTAATATATAAGTCGTTTAACGTAAATAGAAACTAAGTTTTTCTTTGAGTAAGGTCGACCAATAAATAAGCAGAATACCCTGTAATAATATACAATGTTTAGGATTCCTTAGTTACACAACAAGGAACCCTTATAGTTTCGCCATGTCCGTGCGTAGTCCGTCCGCGGTTTTGCTCCGAGACCCTATGTGCTACATATCAGTAATTTGGCATAGTTATAGATATTAATCACGCATAGAAAACTGCGAAATAAAATCTTAAAAAACATTTTTATTTTTGGTACTTCCCATACAAGTAAATTGAGAATGATTTTTTACCCATCATGTGGGGTACCGTTGTATAGGTCTTTCTCTTTCGAAAACACTGTGGGTGTGCAACAACATTTTTTCGATTCAGGGATCTGTTTGCGAAATATTTAGCTTTAACGCATTGATATATTAAATGGGGGCTTTAACGTAGTATTTTTCATTAGTCATGTGTAATCCCCCCCCCCCCCCCTCTATCTACTAAACCGCTGTTGGAAAATGTGGAAAGTATACTCGTCAGTAGTAGGTATATACAATAAAGTTAAGTATAAAATGCACTTGGATTGGTAAAAATTTCGTTACAACTCCATAGAAAATGACTTAAAAGTAGCTGCAGTATAACTTTGTAATGTTTTTTTGTTTAAAAAAGCTGAAGGCACACCGGGTTAAATCTGACATCGGGACGTCAATCACCTCAGTCCCCCGTGACAATGGGTGCTGTAAAGTTACCCGCAAAGTCGGGAATCAATAAAAAACAAGTTAATTAAACGCGATAGAATCCGTAAAAGTAGTTTTATTCAATGTGTAGTGTTCGCGTAAATATAAGAAATCATTATTGTAAACTGTTAAAATAAACATTTTATGAAGAAAACGACTACTGTGTCTGGTTATATGATGAAAGGCATAATATTGTAGCC